ATACAATAGCCTTTGTCTTCAACCGAATGATTTAATTAGATGTCCTTGTACTAAATGCTTTAATTGACTGTTGATGACTCGAGGAATGGTATGGGACCATCTTACTAAGTATGGCTTTATGAATGCTTATTTTGTTTGGTAGGCACATGCTAAGACATTTGTAAATTCAGCAAATCCATGGTCTGCTAATAATCTGGGATAATCATCACACAGCCAAGATACACACCATGATGATAGGAATGACTTTCTTGAAATGGTGTGTGATGCATTTTGTCTAGAGGATGATGATAATCAGGAAATGGAAGGTAATTTCCCCAATCAACATCTAGATGAGGAACCAAACAATCAAGCAAAGGCATTTTATGACTTGCTTCATGCATCTACAATTCCACTTGGTGGTTCTGAAAGAAATGAGACAGTGCTTAGCTGGCTTTCTTATATGTTGCATACAAAGACTGCAAATAATATAACTGCTAATGGTTTTAATGCCATTCTCAAAGGATGTAGGAGGTTGTTAAGTGCTGAAGATCAGGAAAAAATTCCTACAAACTTTTATGAAGTAAAAAAATATATGAAAGGGCTTGGGTTAGGCTATCTAAAAATTGATGCTTGTATTAACAACTGCTTTTTATACTATGGGAAGCATATGAAAACATTGACTACATGTTTAATTTGTGGAGAAGCGAGGTATAAACAGAGAAATCCAGGGAGGAATAGACAAAAGGACTTTCCGAGGAATTCTCTTTGGTACTTGCCAATAATACCTCACCTTCAGATGCTATACATGTCTCGAAAAATAGCTGAGCACATGACATGACATTTGAAATGTTGTGGTGATACGGATGAGATCATTCATCCAACACAATCAGAAGCATGGAAACATTTTGATCAAATGCATCATTCTTTTAAAAGAAAACCTTGTAATGTTCGATTAGATCTTGCTACTGATGGTTTCAACCTATGGGCTCATTCTTCAACCTCCTACTCTTATTGGCCAGTTTTTTTTGATTGTTTATAATTTACCACCAAAGGTGTCCATGCGACCAGAGTTTACTTTTCTTACATTGGTCATTGCAAGTCCAAAAAACCCAGGTAAAAATATCGATGTTTTCCTTTGACCTTTAATTGAAGACTTAAAAATGTTATGGTCGACTGGTGTAAAAACATATGATAGTTATCGTAAATAAAACTTCATAATGCAAGCTATGTTGATGTGGACCATAACTAATTTTCCGGGTTATGGTATGGTGGTTGGTTGGAGTATTCATGGCCAATTGACATGTCCTTACTGTATCGAGATGACACAATCTTTTTATCTTCAAAATGGTCGGAAACCATGTTTTTTTGATTGTCATCATCAGTTTTTACCAGAATCACATTCTTTTAGATTTGATCAGAGTAATTTCTTGAAGGGTCGGGTTGAATTAAGCAGTCTCCCTCCACAATTAGATGGTGTTTCAATGCGTCACCGAGTTGAAAACCTTCATGATGTGTTGTTTAGGAAACCCTTTGAAAACCAAACAATTGAGGGTTTTGGGAACATCCATAATTGGGTGAAAAGATGCATTTTTTTTGGGAACTTCTTTATTGGCATGATAATCTTATTCGACATAATCTTGATGTAATGCACTGTAAGAAAAATTTCTTTGATAATATAATACACATTGTTATGAATGACAATAAGAAAAAAGACAATGGGAAAAAAGACAATGGGAAAGTAAGATTGGATTTAGCCATTTATTGTGACCGAAGCAAACTGCACATGGGATATAATACGCATGGTAAGCTTGTGAAACCTAATGCTAGTTATGCACTGACATCCGAAAAACAAAGCTTCTATATGCATGGCTAAAACAGTTGTGCTTTCTAGATGGGTTTGCTTCGAACATATCAAGATGTGTCAACTTGAATGAGTCCAAGTTATTCGGGATAAAAAGTCATGTTTGTCATGTTTTCATGCAACGACTAATTCCAGTTGCTTTTTGTGATCTATTGCCATCTGCTATTTGGGGTCCTTTGACCGACATTAGTAACTTCTTTCGTTCACTTTGTTCCCCAGTCATTAAAGTTACTGAGATGCAAAAGTGGGAGGCAAAGATTGTTGAAATAATTTGTAAGTTAGAAATAATATTTCCCCCAACATTCTTTGATTCTATGGAACATCTAGTAATTTATCTTCCATATGAGGTCAAAGTTGGTGGTCCTCTTCAATTTCGTTGGATGTACCCATTTGATAGGTAAAACATACAAAGAAATTAATAATTTTAAAACTTACTTTTGATTATTCTTTTAAATTAATCTTATTAGTATTTCTTTTCAAGCACATGCGCAAACTTAAGAGTACCATAGGGAATAAAAATCATGTCGAGGCATCAATTGTCAAGGTATCAATTGTTGAGGCATTTATATTATACGAGATATCCCATTTCTGTTCTCGTTATTTTGGGGATGATGTTGAGACAAGCTAGAATCAGCCTCCAAGAAACTATGGTGGTGGCATTGGAACCAACGTTCTAGATAAGTTATCTGTATTTTGTTTCCCTGGTGAATCAATAGGTGCCCACTCACATACACAATGTTTAACATTGGAGGAGAAAGATGCAACTGAACTATATGTCTTGCTAAATTGCAAGGAGGTTGATGTTTGGGCAACGTAAGTTTTACTTCTTAGGAAAATAAGAACTACAAGATGTTTAATAGCATATATGATTTTCATAACGTTTTAATTAATAAATGAATGTTATTTCATAGTAAATTTGAGGAAGAAGTTGGTGCAAATTTGCCATATGAATAACTACAAAGATTGTGAACAAATAATTTTATT